GAGTTTGCTGAAATGTGATCTGCAGCGCCAACAGCGGCTACTGCCGCTCACTCCGGTAATCTTTTATTTACTTTGTATTCGATGGTTTCTTTGTTTTTTTCACTATTTATTTTTTCACATAAACTTTTGAGCCTGTGAGACCAAATTATTGTGGCACTGTTTCAAGATATACACTCGTTGAATGTTCACAATTATAGCAAAAACAACTCGTATCCTTATAATTTTGCTAAAACTTGTTTACACAAACAAATCAAATGTAACAAATGTTTATTACATTGCTTTATAATATATATACATATGGTACAATCACTGGACACTTATTAGATGTGCTGCAGCTTGAGGAATTCTTTGAAACACGGGTATAAGCACAATGGTGTCTTACACTCCTCACACATAAAAACGAGTGTCATCTGTCGTTTTTGTGGGCGTTTTGTGTATGTCACAGACAAATCACCTCTTCTGAGCATTTTTCTTGCAGTAGTACAGGAGCAGTGGTATCGGGTAGTGATCACCTTAGGGCACAGACGAGAGGACATGAGTGATAATTTTCCGTGGGGCGCTTGGTCTATTTGCAGGTGTTGTTTCTTGGTACTTGAATATTATTGTCTGATGACTGACAAAAACAAAATTCACCAATATTTGGGTTTGTTCTTGGTCTTCAACTTATACATATTATAAGCATTCAGCATGGAAAAGTCAAGAAAGATGGAAAAACAGTTTTATGTACCACTTAATAACTCTTGCGAACAATGTCAGCAAACCCAATCTGCATGTCACATTTGTCCACTAAGTGCATATTGAGGTGTAATCATCACAGACTGCAGTTTTACATAGTTCTTGGTCTCGTCTAATTCATTGCTTGCCAGTCTCTAAACCATTTCGTGTCGGTAACTGATGTCAGCAGTGTGACATCACGTTAGTCATGCCACCGAAATTGGCCATGAATGTCATTGCAAGCAAAACTACCTGCACTTCACCTCTACGACTGCCAGCTTCGAACCTAGGCAATGTTAAACGATTTCTAGCACTATGCCACACAACATCTGTCATGTTCACTCTCAAGAAATCACTGAGTATAGGGCTTGGTACAGTTGTCCAGTATATAAAAAGATGCCCCTTACCAAGATATGGGCTCCATCATTGTTCTAACCACATCACCAGATTACCCAGTAACTTCCTGGTATCTTCCATTGTTTTAAACCGCCAGTGTACAACAATTATATCCTAAAACCAGAACCAGTTTTGCAATCACACAGAACAAATAACTTTATAGCCACAGCGTTCCTCTGTTGCTTGGATATATACTGCTTGATTGAGAGTCTTTCCTTTGAACAAAATCAAAGACTCGTAATAACAAGCTCCTGAAGGGATAAAAATACATAGACAGCACTTTTGTTTCAGGTACATAAACACACGTCTGATCTTATATAACCTGTCGTCATCTGTCAGGCCGGTTTTGTCTGAAAAAGTGTAACATAACGTAACAGTAAACACAAATCTATTTCACTGGTAAATGTCACTGAAAGCAGGGGTTGAAATCAGGCGGTCTGTCGCCCAGTATGTGCTGACACTATGCATATAACTCATGTGGCGCATAAGCATTAATTTGTGGCAAAGAACAGATAAATCTCTGGCCTACAGTTGTGTCCTTCCACTGTGTAGCGTGATCTTGGTTAAAGCATAGTGTTTGCCTGATGTACACATAGTAATGTATTGCCTTGCCCTGACAATACTGTCCATCAGGGGTTCATCGAAGAACAACTGAAAGCATGCCAGTTCAGTGGGATTGTACCCAAGTGTACATGATGGCCGTATTCCGACTTTGTCCCTCCATCAAAGTCATGGGATTGGACAAAGTCTCAGTCTAGAGCCAATTCCCAGATGCGGTCAGCTCGTGCGTTCGGATATTGTAAATGTCGTTGTGGTTTGTGCGAGGTTGTGGTTGTGATAGTGGGGGGTCGCCGAAGCAGTTGTAGTTGTGCAGAGTCAGCAGCGCGGCACTAGCTGGGCCCGCTGCTGGTGTCCAAATGACTCATGGCAACCGTCACAAATCACCACCACCGCCTGCGTGCCTCCCTCACAACATCATTTATACCCTCGTGAACAATATCGTCACTTCACTAGCCAGACGAGGTGTAGGGCCACGATGTGCTCGAGATGTACTCCTTCCCTCTTAAAGAGCATATGGCACACTACCAAGCCGCATGCGACGTCGAAATATACTGCCGTATCACTGGGGAATATTCACCCTCACTGTCACAACTAGAAGTGCCTTCAATTAACCTTGAAATCACTATCACTACACTTGCACTGCTCACATCTGAGTCTTGTACACGGGCAAATAGTTTCCGCTCTTTCGGTCCTGGTAACAGGGAATAGAACGAGCCGCCTAGCACCAGGGGTGGATGGTTGTGGTCATCTGGTTTTTCATCACTAATTATGTTATCCTGGGTATTTTCTCGGATCACAGAACCCCTTCAAAACCATGGAATTCACTTTCACGACACTATCATTCAAGTTTGAGCTATAACATTGGAACAAAAGACCTCCAATCCGCCGAGGATGAGGGAACTTCTTACCCGCGAGGCATGGTGAAAATGACTACCAAGATGGCATTCCCACAATGCACCGCTGAGTCCCAGATTTTTTTCACAGGGTGCACACCGACCACTGAGACCCATTCTCTCTCGTGTAGGCCTACCAGCCCTCTCCCGCTTGATTTGAAGCCGCTAGAATTTATGCGTATAGATACGTCAAACACGGTATCTCCCATGACGTACATATATGACCGCGACAGTCAAAGGGTTAAGCGGGGGTCCACTGTAATACAGAAGTATGAGATTGGAGTGAGACTTGTTGAGCTTGCCAGAATGTACAAAGGACTGTGGACAGTTATTTTGTGAGACAGAAACAGAGGGTATACTGTGGACAGTATTTTGTGAGACAGATACAGACGACTGTGGACAGTTATTTTGTGAGACAGAAACAGACGACTGTGGAGTTATTTTGTGAGACAGACGATTGTGGACAGTTATTTTGTGAGACAGAAACAGATAACTATGGACAGTTATTTTGTGAGACAGAAACAGACGACTGTGGAGTTATTTTGTGAGACAGAAACAGACAACTGGGAGTTATTTTGTGAAACAAACAGACAATTGTGGACAATTATTTTGTGAGACAGAAACAGACAACTGTGGAATTATTTTGTGAGACAAACAGACGATTGTGGACAGCTATTTTTGTGAGACAGAAATCAGACGAACTGTGGATAGTTTTTTGTGAGACAGAAACAAGGACTGTAGACAGTTATTTTTTGAGACTGGGGTTCCAATGACCTGTCAAGCCACGTCTAGTGGCATTAAAATACAGAGAAGGGAAGCCACCCCAGATAGGGTTTTAATACCCGGAAGTCCCTCCATGGAGGGGGATTCTCCTTCCAAAAATAATCCCAACTACTCCCTCTCTCCTCCTCCCTATTCTTCAGATCCATCACCAATCTTCAACAAAGGTAAGTAAAAATGTTGTTTTATATTACTATACATAAGTAAAGACTATAGCATTTGTTGTATGTATGTAAAACTGCAATTAATCTCTATAAAATGTATTTTTTTGTGAATATTTTTGGGTTTCTGGAACGGATTAATTGTATTTCCATTATTTCTTATGAGAAATATTGCTTCGAATTTCAGACTTTTCGAATTTAGAACTAGCTCCTGGAACGGATTAAGTTCGAAATTTGAGGTTCCACTGTACAACCATAAAAACCATTCGAAATTACTGCTAAGGAGTGGCTAATTGCTGAAAAGTGAACTCAATTATTTATGCTTAGATTTCTGTCATTTTTGGTGTATGTTAAGAAGCATCTTTACATCATACACTGCCCAAGTTTCAATAAGATAGTCAAACAAACAAATGAGATACAATTACCGAGATCAAGAGCAAGAGCCCCTCACCAGTGTCAAGGAACCTGCCTCGAGGTCTGCTCGCTTGTGGGAATTTTGCTCGTGTATGGAATAAAAAAATTGACCCATTGACTGCTCTTTTTTGGAAAAACTCGCACGTGGGCATGCTCGCAAGTAAGGTTCCCACTGTACTCAGTTTCAGAAACAAAGATTGTTTATAAAATGACAAGAACTACTAAGGGGTGGTAGGGGGGGGGGGGGGGGGGGGGATAATTGGTGGGGGGGGGACAAATTGTAAATTATCAAAAATAAAAATTATATAAAATAATATGAAAAATAGAAAAAAGGTATATTGGCAACACTTCTGCAAGTGGCAGGACTCGATGTTGCTGTCACATAAGCATCCAGTGCCAACTTCTTGGCCTCATATCTCAGTAAGAACTGACCCTAAATTTTTTTTTTATTCTAAAATACTTAAAAAAAATGTGCTTTTTTTTTCTATATAAAAAAAAAACACGATTTTTTTTTTCCAAAATATTTGGGGCGCTGCGCGAGTGAAGTACATGTATATATATATACGTTTGGACCGTTTAAGGGTTATTATTATTATACAGTGACTTACGAGTGCCCCGACTAACGAGTTTTCCGAGTTACGAACCGTCACTCAGTCGATTTTTTGCTTTGAGTTGCGAGCCAAAATCTGAGTTATAAGCGAGCTCCAGATATGCCACCACTCACAGGACAAACGAAATATCATAAACCTCAATAATAACCAATATGCAACATCCTTTCAATTTTGATACCACTAATAGTGTCATCCTGCCAGAATGCTCTATAATGTATGCCCTAAGTAAAGAGAAACAATTCTGGAACATGTGTAATACAGTGGACCCTCAGTTAACGCATTTAATCCATTCCAGAGAGCTAGCCTTTAGCCGAATTAATTTTCCCCATAAAAAATAATGGAAATCCAATTAATCCGTTCCAGACACCCAAAAGTACTAAACAAAATAATTTTTTTACATGAAATATGCATTTCCCAACATAGAAAACAATGATACATGAAGAATAAAATAATAATAACATAACACTTACCTTTATTGTGGACTTGTTGATGAGTGATGAGACGGGAGGAGGGCAGAGGATGAAGGTATTCTATTGTTTGGAAGAGGAATCCCTCCTTTCATAAAGACTTCAGGTAACAAGCCCTTTTCTGGCTTGTGTCCCGGGAGTGCCTTTTCCTCCTGAGTAATGTAGGTCCTGTTTGGCATTTTCTTCCTAAACAGACCTGTTTTGTCACAATTGAACACTTGTTGGGGTTTTAATTTTTCAGCCTCTATGTACCCCTTAAAGTCCTGCACATATTTTTCAGCTGCTTTTTTGTCAGAACTGGCAGCCTCACCATGCCTTATCAAACCATACCACCATCACAACCACTACCACCCTCTATCTCCACCACTACAACCCTCTACCACCATCGCTACGCACCCTCAACACCATCACAACCACTACCACCCTCTACCACCATTGCTATCACCCTCTACCACCATCACAACCACTACCACCCTCTACCTCCACCACTACCACCTTCTACCACAGTCACTTTTGTATTTTTCTACAAACTTTTTCTTAAATTATATGTGTTTCTCACATTCTTTACCACAGGGCTGGCAATAGAAGATTTAACTTGACTCACGACATGGAGTGACATTTGATGATCGTGCACTGCCTTGGCTTTATTTTCCACTGTTATACATAAACATGCCTGTGTTTCTATTTGTCTGTCAGTTTCTGTCTAGCTCTATATTTGTCTCTGCTTATCTGTTTTTCTGTCTGCCTGTGTTTCTCTCTTCCTCTCTTTACTTGTCTCTCTGCCTCAGAGAGAGAGCTTTCTTGGGGCCCATGGTGGCTTATTTAGCAGTTAAGCACCAAAAAAAATGGAATAATACAAAATATATTGCATGTACGCGCAGAATCGTCCTCAATGACTTTGTAAACAATGGTACACTGGCTGGTACATGGAGTGAATGGCCGGGCCCGCTCAAGGCGCCGTGCCGACATGTTTGGGATGAAAGCTCCTAACCGAGTTTTTAGGTGTTTTCCAGGCCAATTTTTTGACACTAAAGTGAGGTGTTATCCAATTTTGGCGTTATCCAATGCAGGCGTTAACTGAGGGTCCACCGTACATGTTTGGCAGGCCGCTGGCTGGCTGATTTGCTTTGGCTGTCTCTATCTCCTTCTGTCTGTCTGCATACATCTCTGTCTCTGTCTATCTGTGTCTCTATCTCACAGGTACACAAATACACCTATACATAGTGTAAATTACCTAGGATAACCCAAAAAAATCCAGACAAAGTGCTATACTATGCTTGTAGATATAAGGCATAATAAGCATGACTGGCAAGTCATACACTTTTTTTTACTTGTCAGAATCAGACGTGACGCGACTCTGCAACGTGAGTAATACCTATTGGTTCATGAGCAGCTCTCTCTCTGAGACAGAGAGACAAATAGAGAGAGGAAGACAGAAGCACAGGCAGACAGAAAAACAGATAAGCAGAGACAGAGACAAACATAGAGCTAGACAGAGACTGACAGACAGATAGAAACAGATAGACAGGCATGTTTATGTATAACAGTGGAAAATAAAGCCAAGGCAGTGCACGATCATCAAATGTCACTCCATAAGTGTCACTCCACTGGCAGTGGAGTGACACTCATCTTACACCGTATTTTTATAAGGAGTTTCATGTATACTCCAACATTTCTAAAACATTGCTGGGACCTGGCAAAAAAAGGCAAAAATCATTTCTTATTTATAAACACATTTTTTCTTATTTAAAAACTGTAACAAAAAAAATTGGGGTGGTTTTTTGGGGGCTGGAATGAATTAATGGCATTTCAATTAATTTCAATGAGAAAATTAATTTGATAGAGCAAATGAGTTACGAGCTTGGTCACATAACAATTAAACTCTTAAGTAAGGTACCACGTATTATTATTATTAATTATTATTATTATTAACCCCTTTTTTGTTTTTTTCAGGTTTAGAGCGCCAAGAATTTTCAAAAAATAAATTTGTTATTTTTTTCTATGTATGATAATGGGTAGAGAAATCTTTTCTGCAAGGTAATAAATCAAAAAAGTACAAAATTTGATGTAAAAAGACGAAATTATGGCTCTTGCATAATTTGATGATTCAGCGATATTGATGCATTGCGATTTTGCCAACTTTGACTCTCCATTTTAAGTGCCAAGTTACATTATCCCAGTTGACCAAATTCTTGTTCATAGCTATTTCACTAGTATTACTTCTATTCTATCGATTAAGCACAAGAATTCACCAATCCAACGGTTTCAACTACAAAATAAAAGTGATTGGAAATTGGTAATTTGGCCAATTTAATGCAAAGTTCAATACATGAACCGCCGTCACAAATTAGAACTAATCCTTCCAGGAGCTAGTTCTAGAATTCGAAAAGTATGAAAGTCGAAGCAATATTTCCCATAAGAAATAATGAAATACAATTAATCCGTTCCAATAAACCCAAAAATATTCACTACAAAAAGATACATTTATAGAGATTAATTATACAGTTTTTAATAGTACAACAAATACTATAGTTTTAATTATGTATACTAATACATATAAATAACATTTTTTACTTACCTTTATTGAAGATTTGTGATGCAGTCTGGAAGAGGAGAGAGAGGGAGTTGGGGGTTAGTGTTTTGGAAGGGAATCCCCCTCCATGAGGACTTTCAGGTATCAAAGTCCACTCTGGGGTTACTTTCCCTTCTCTGTTCTTTTAATGCGCGACTAGGACCAGCTTTCATGCAGAGGAGCCTGGTCACGGACCCCTGTCTCACAAAATAACGTCACAGTCCCCTGTTTTGGTGCCCTTAACTTTTCCCATAAAATGGGACATGTTCTGTCACGAACTTGTTGCAAAGATGGCTTGTTTCACTTGCTCAGGGTGGTACTTCTGCACAAACATTTGGACATCATTCCACTTGGCACAAATCTCCTAATCTTTGAAGAAGGCACCTCATCCACATCCCTATATTAACACGTTCGCAACATCAGCTTCCTCGATTTGTTCTTTCTTTGACAGGATAGAACCGATGGTCATCTTGTTTTTCCCATATCATCCCGGCAAGCTCAACAATCCTCACACCATCTCCTCATACTTCTTCTGTATATTTCCTTCATTTCACATCTAGGTTGGTTTCTCGACTTTATTTATCACAGTGTACCACTAGCTAGTTTCTCATTGGCCCAATGGCAGCTTATTTCACAGTCCCACAAGCACTAAAAACACACCAAATAATCATAAAATGCATGAATGAGAGCGCAGGTTAATGTTCACTCAAGCATAAACAAAGCTAGACTGCTCACGGCGCCTGCGCGGGGGTGCGGGGTGGCAGACAGAGCGGGTGGCAGACAGGTCCCGTACCCAGCGGTCCAAAAATAGAGGCATGTTCGATAATAGTACACAGTTTGTCCCGAAAAAAATAGTAACTATTTTCGAACCGTTCGATATGTGTATACGTTCGATTTTTGAGGTTCCACTGTACTCCAATTTCAAAACAGGGTCCAGAATAAACAATGCAGGCATTCCTGGCACTAAAATGACATTTCCTCTGGTCATTAGTCACGTCTCAAGGCCCCTCTTATATTCTTTTGCTTTCCACTTTGAATTTTTATTCTCACAAAAAATAGAAGATTTACTGTTATGCAGACTACTGCATTAGTGTAAAAAATGGTATAAATATTATTGGTGCACTTTGTGAAAGAATATTAGACTCACCAGTTGACGTGTATTGCACGCTTGGCACGATTTGTTTACTTTTGAAGTTTGGTAAAAATCGAACATTTCAGCTACTTTGAGCTCAATTTCAAGGCACCTTTCTTTGTAAAACCAGTCAAAATCATCTCAATTTCTGTAATATGTCTTCCATTCTATAAAATGAGACCAAGAAAAACTAGAATACAACAATAAATACCATACGAAAATACAGTGCAAAGTCGCTGATTTATTAAAAAAAAATGGTCAAAGTTTTTTTTTTCTCATTATGCACTGTGTGCTGCAGGATTTTTTTTAGACTGTGCACACTGACCACATAGACCCATTCTTTCATATGAAGGCCTACCAGCTTTCTCCCACTAGATTTGAGGCCGCTAGAATTTATGAGTACTAGTACGTCAAAAACCCCTACGCATAAGACGTACTAGTACGACGAAAACCCTCAAAGGGTTAAACACTTGTTCAGGTTTCAATTCTTCACTGTCTATGTACTCCTTGAATTCCTGCACATATTTTTCAGCTGCTTTTTGGTCCAAACTGGCAGCCTCACCATGCCTTATCACACTATGTATGCCACCACGATTCTTAAATCTCTCAAACCAACCTTTGCTGGCCTTAAATTCACTCACATCACCACTAGTTGCTGGCATTTTTCTAATTAATAAATCATGCAACTTCCTAGCCTTTTCACATATGATCACTTGAGAGATGCTATCTGTTTTTCGTTTATCCACACCAATGACAGTCTCTCAACATCTTCTATCACTTGCGATCTCAGTTTCTAAAACATAGTTGCACCTTTGGCAAGAACAGCTTCCTTGATTGCCGTTTTCTTGGCCACAATAGTAGCGATGGTTGATTGGGGTTTTGTGTACAACCTGGCCAGCTCGGAGACACGCACTCCACTTTCATACTTAGCAATGATCTCTTTCTTCATATCCATAGAAATTCTCACCCTTTCTGCTGTAGGGTTGGCACTAGAAGCTTTCTTGGGGCCCATGGTGACTTATTTTGCAAGTGCAATCACTAAAAAGGCTGTGATAATATGAAATGTTCCGATTGTATGCTTGGAAGCGACCGCAGTGGCTGGCTGGCTTGTAAACACTGACCAGAAGTGGACGCGTCTCAGACGGAACGAATAGTGTTGGTCGAGTTTTTTAGTGCTAGTCGAGGCAAAATTTTTGCGTTAAAATGTATTGCTGGTCGGATTTATCGTTAATCGATGCCATCGTTGGTCGAGGGTCCACTGTATATACTTCCGCATATCCAGAACATTGCTGGGACATATAAATACTTTGTACAGTGGACCCCCGGCATACGATATTAATCCGTTCCTGAGAGCCACTAAGTGGCACCAGTCACTGGATGAATCCAAAGTCAGCTGTGCGGTAGCACTGGCCATCGCTGGCACTTTCGACCAGGTGTGGCACCAGGACCTCTTAGCAAAACTTCAAGCACAGGGAATTGCAGGCTCTACGCTATGTCTCCTCAGTGATTACCTTCATGGTAGATCTCTAAGTGTAGTTCTCAATGGAACGGAATCAGCAAGACATCCTATTGGGGCAAGTGTTCCACAAGGAAGCGTGCTGGGACCATTGTTATGGAATGTCTACTTCAACGACCTTCTTCATCTCATCCCAGAATCACATGCATATGCAGACGACTGCACACTGACATTCACTTATCCAAGAGAAGAAATGCCAGCTGCTCTAAGCTACACCAATCACCAGCTGAGAGCTATATCAGCTTGGGGAAACAGATGGCAAGTAACATTTGCACCTGAGAAAACGCAAATGATGATCGTCTCTAGGCACCATGATGGTAATGCTCGTGCAGTAGTAAGGATGAATGGGAGGGTGTTGGCACCTGGAGAAGAAGTTGATATCCTTGGGGTGAAATTTGACTCCAAACTA